TTATAGAGAGATTCTAGGGTTTGTTAGTTGGTGGCTAAGTCACTTTTTTCCTATAAATATAGGGGTTCTATTCCATTGTAAATCATCCCAAATCAATAAGAATTCTCTCTCCCTATTTTTCTCTGCAATATTCCTCTTCTTCTTTATTGTTTTATAACACATTATCAGCACGAGGCTCTAATCAATTGAGTAGAGGGCGGTTGTTTTAATTTGTAGATATACTATTAATTAGTTGTCTAGCATTTGAGAAATTAAACCCCCGTGGAGAGAATATATAGGAATTTGCGTGAGACCCTTGGGTACGGTGAATACATTGATATTCCTATACTAGGAATATGCTTCGGTCACCAGGCTACGTGCATGGCGCTCAATATGTACATAATATTGAACATAATGATTGTCAATTGTTCTATGAACTTCTTCAGGAATAAATTCTGGACTTAAGGTAAGTATTTTGCCTTATTTTTCTCTTTTAAATTCTTGAAATTCTATAATTTAATTTTAAATACAAGCAGAGACAATAAATTTTGCTTATAACTCTAGTAGAGTTTGTACAAAATTATAACTATCCGAAGTGGTGAACTTTCTATGTCTTACCATGATAAAATTCATGTATGATTGTGGGCACAAGAAGTGAAAACTCGTCTCATTGAATTTGCTTCATTCTTATTCTTTTAAGAGAATGTGATAGTAGTATGTAATAAGTCTGAAAGAACACAAAATTATTACCTTGAAGGTATCAATGTGTGGATGTGGCAATAGATGAAATTATAATCGTCATCATTGTGGTAATGAGAACAATAAGGATTCTCAAAATAATCCTTCACTCTGTGAAAGTAATATTTGTCATCGATTTGACATGAGATTTTGTAAAGCACATATAGATGATTATGGTCCATTCATGATGTGAATGTGACAACATGTGATTTATGAATACATATTCATTTTTGGAAGAATATGAACGTGCTAGTGGTATTGAATATACCACACTCACCTCTAGAAGGAGGTTTGAGATGAAATAAGAAAATAATTTTATTATTATGACATGAATGGTCATTGATCACGTATGTAATTATCCCAAAATATTATGGCAATGTAATTATTACATGGCATAAGTAATGGAAGCAACATATCTTGCCTAAAATGATTTTGACCATGACCATAATGGGATAACATTCTCCTTGAAAGAGATATTCACCATATAAATGTTGATGAATATGTGGTAGTACAAAAGTAATTGAGAGCTCTAGAAGAGCCAATTATTATAATTTTGGAGGAATAAAATTAATTATCAATAAGGTACTGTGTCGTACTAAGTCTCAAAGAAACTTATTGAGTTTCTAAAATATTCGCGAAAGCGGTTGGTCATATTGAGACTATAAATAAAGGAACTATTTAATATCTTCTATTACTACAATTTGTAGCGGCGTAATATTTAGGTAAAAATTTACCTGCTTTATTCTTCAGTTTGTACTACACACATAAAAGAATGCCACAATAAAGTGGAAGTTTATTGATATAAAAACCCATATCATAATAAACTTGAAGTTTTTTGATAATTGCACACGTCATGGTGTAAACATGGAGTTTATCAATATTGATAATTTATCAAGTTGGCATAATTGATTTAGCCATGTTAATTTAAGTATGATGTGCAAAAATAAAAGAGAATTCACATGGGTTATATTAAAGAACTAGAGAGTTCTTTACGAATTCTCTTATGTTGTTTGTTCTCATTAATTAATAGATCAGCTAAAATTGGGATTGAATCCCATGAATGCTGGAAATATCAAAGGTGAATATGAGCTCATTCACCTACCATGTATACCACATAAGATGCATCTATGAGATGGTTACATGTGCTCTTATTATTAACCCGCAACCTGATATTTGCGAGTTAACTTACTCAATAATTTAATTTAGATCTTAATTTCAAGATTTTCTATTCAAGATAGTTCATCTTGATAAGTTGGTTTACATCACAGTTGTTATAGCAAAATAATTTATTGAGTGCCTCCACTTAATAGCTAAATTACTGCTTATGAGAACAAAGTTATCTATATCAGTTTGATATACATTATATACGAAAGTATATTACGTTCTCCCCTCACAAGTAGTTCATGATCAGGAACCAAATAATTACATCTTATTATTATTGATGTGCGGTGTATATTTTGATTAACATCATAACGCATAAAGGTGGGTTTCCAAAGTTGAGGAAACAAGTTAGTTTTTCTAACATGAGGGGGAGATAGAATAAATAGTTGAGAAAAAGTTACAGAATGAATTATTGTTTGTACATCTAGATCCTCGAATAAGATAATATGAACTTGAAGTTCATAAAAAGATAATTCATCTGCAATATGTTGCAAAGCATGCCAGAAGCATTTGCTGACCCAAAGAAAGTAACTATATTCTCACTACAAATGCTCCCATTAGAATAAGTCCTAGAAGGACAAAGTCTATGAAAAATCGGTTTCAAATAAAATTCTTGATAAAGAAGATGAGAAAATGATCATAATAAGGAGGCAAGTGATCTAGAAGATCACATAACATAATATTTCATAAAATTTCAGGAGAGGTTCAGGTACCTGAAAATATGAATGAAGAGATCTCTATGTTATGTCTTTATAAAAAAAATGTTGGAACCGATATAAAATGTTTGCCGACGACTTCTATGATAGCGCTAAGTATAGATAGGGATCTTAAGTCTGTTGAATACGGACACAAAAATATTGGCCAAATGAAAAAGACAGAATTCGAATAGAATTTGTTTCATATGAAAGACATATAGTTTTGGGCCTGCAGTTCAAACACTTGAAAGTATAAAGTCAATGGTGTGTGCAATCACTTTTATCTATCTTAGATGTCTATCATGACATGAAAACTTGATATACATCAAATGTCTATTTAAATGGCTTATATGACTTAACTTATATGACAATCCCTGAAGGTTTCAAATCACTTAAAGCATAAACAATCCTAAGTGTAATTTGTGCACATATGTATCTTGCTATAACTATAAGCATGATAATGTGTTAGCGAGGATTTTCAAGGTGCAACAAATTCATTGGAGTTAATATGGCTGATTTAATCATCAAATCTCTGCCGACGTCAACCTTCAAGAAGCTAGTGCTCAAGATTGGAATGCGAAGGCTCAAGGATGTGAATTGATGCTCTCATCCGGGGGAGTTACTACGCGTTGTACTCTTTTTTCCTTACAAGGTTTTGTCCCACTAAGTTTCCTTGCAAGGTTTTTAACGAGGCAACCAAAAGGCGTATTGTTAGATATGTGTACTCTTTTTCCTTCACTTGAATTTTTTTCCACTGGATTTTATTTTAGTTAAGGTTTTAACGAGGTACATTATCTGTTGAATAGACATTCAAGGGGTAGTGTTATAAATAGAATTATATTTAAGGTGAATGTCTATATTTTAGAGAGATTCTAGGGTTTGTTACTTGGTGGCTAAGTCACTTTTTTCCTATAAATATAGAGGTTCTATTCCATTGTAAAGCATCCCAAATCAATAAGAATTTTCTCTCCCTACTTTTCTCTGCAATATTCTTCTTCTTCTTTATTGTTTTATAATATTTTTAGTATTTTTTAAATATATAATTTTTTTTAAGAAACTTTAAGAATCTATATGTGTTAATTCACACTGAAAATTAAGTTCCTTTCACATTCGTTCCTTCGTATAAATTGAGACAAAATGAGTATATTTTTCTTGAATATAACTTATGTACATCGTAGGTTGGTGTAAAGAAATTTTTATACTATCACGTCACTTTAAGGATATCTACCGATAAACCTTTTCAAAATGGGGGTACGTACTCTAAGGGGTGTCAATGGTTCGGTTCGGTCAGTTAATTTATAAAATTTGTAACATACTATTTTTTTTTGTTTATTCTATTATGTATAACCAAAATTAGATTTTTCGAAATTGTCCCAATCACGTCGGTTTCTCTTCGGTATCAGTACGGTTCGATTAATTTTTGGTTATTTTTTTAGGGTCATGTAAAAGTCACTAGCTAGTAGAAGTAGAATGCAATAATTTGCGTACTTTTATAAGACTTCACAAAACTCTCTAGACATTTTTACTGTTTAAAGGGTGATGAATTAAGAAAACATGAAAGATGGTGAGAGTATAGATCCATCAACTATTTTATAGCAGTGTAAAAGAAACTAATCAAAGACAAAGAGTATGAACCAAGCTGGGACTCGAGAATAAAGTATATACAAGATTAAATATTCAAAAAGATAAATTTAAATCATACGAAATTAAAGAAAACATATTCAATACATTATAGTTTGCTACTCATAATTGCTAGAATGTCGTGTGTCTTGCTAGTGAATATGTTGAAAATAATTTAATTTCAATAGCAGTAGCATAATAGGTTAGGAAATTAGGATTTTGAGTTTAGTTGTTGGCTTGTAACCGTTTTCGTAATTCCAAGCCCCAAAGAAAAATTTAATTCTTTATTATTTTTTAACTTAATAAATAAATATATTTATTCGATACGGTATTTTTTCGATTTATTTTCATAAAATAAAAAACTTACCCTAATTATCGGTAGGGTTATAAATTTATATAAAAACCTACGGTTTTATTAAAAGAAACCTGAAAATCGGTTCGGTACGGTACGGTTCGGTCGATTTAGTCGGTTTTTACCCTACGTACTCCAACAGATAAAGATGACCTAATGGTGTAAATATGTCTCAAATTGACACAATACATATAACTTAAAATCGTTTTTTTTACCTTGATCGGCAAAAGAGGTAAAGTGACTCTTCCTGTTTATTGAAAGGCAAATAAATCTTATAAGCGCATTTAATAAACTGCTAAAGACCTAAAAACATCTCGATTAAAAAAACTGAGATAGTACCAGTACTTGGGAAGTCTACGCAAGGGAATTAGTTGTTAACATCAATCATAAAAAGTAAACGCTACAACATCTCTTTATAAGCCAATCTCATCGCATGCATATGTATATGCAACAACAATCAAGATAGTAGTAATTCAAGAAACGATCACAGTTTTGGGAAAGATGGGGAGCAGAGTCGTGTGGAAAATTGTTTTGCTATTGGTTTTTATTGGATGGCTCTTCATCTGGATAATGTTACCTACAAAGACTTACAAAGATTCATGGACTCCCCAGCTCAAAATCAAGCTCAACTCCACATATTTCAGAGAACAAGGTATAGTAATTACTCTAATTAAATTATCTTAATCTAATTTTTTCCCGTTTTTCCAAGTTAGTATAACGCCAAATCTGAACCATTTCCTTAAGTTGAGTAGAAAATTTGGACCTTTGCCCTAAACCTAATTGACACTTCGTTACTGCAGGGACAAATCTTCTTTTATTTACATTTCCTATAATGTTGATCGCTGCTCTGACCTGCATCTATCTTCATCTTTACAGCAAGTCAAGTTCTGATCAGAGGTTAGTTAATGATTTAATTTCATTTTCTCGTTCTCAGCCATTAATATGTATCACGTACGTTGGAGGAACAAAAAGATAACATAATTATATATTCTCGGCATGTTATAATTTCGTGAGCATTTTTACAGTACTAATGGCAATAAGGGGCAATATTCTCGTTCATGGAAACGGCCTGTGCTTGCGATGGCTCCTCTGGGAATTGTGAACGCCGTTGAGCTTGCATTTGCTGCTATGTTTATCGCCCTTCTAATTTGGTCTTTAGCCAACTACGTCTGTATCAGCTTTGGCCGTCTCCATATGCACAACGCTGGAGAGAAAGTGTAGGTTTTCTACTTCTTAAAATTAAACAGTTGAATCCTATTGTTGATATGTAAATATATATCTATGTTCCGCGTAAAAACTGTTGAATTCAGTTGAACTAATATTACAACATCGATCCGCCTCTTCTTATCAATGGATCGGTATTTTGGGTAATTTGCAGGTGGATGGCAAAGTTTCGAAGTGTATCTTTAAGGCTTGGCTACCTTGGGAATATTTGCTATGCGTTTTTGTTTTTCCCTGTGACCCGATTGTCTTCAATTTTGCCGCTGGTTGGGCTAACCTCAGAATCAAGCGTTAAGTATCATATCTGGCTTGGTCATGCCTCAATGGCTCTTGCCATTCTCCATAGTGTTGGCTTCGTCATATACTATGCCATGTCTCATCAAATGATAGAGGTTTGTTGACATTATTCTTTTATTGTTTGGAGCTCTTAGTTATTGCTCCATCTGTTTTGAACTTATTTCTCCTATTTAGGGAGTCAAACAATTCTTTTTTTACCATGTTTATTTGTAAATAGTTTTTAAATATTTTGAATCGTTAATTTTTGTGACTTATAGTACTTTTTATGTAGTTTCTAAATATGTAGATTTTATTTCAAATAACCTAAAGAAGCCGCTATATATGCCTGAATTCATACCAAAAATTAGTCAACTTGATCCTCGTACTCCAAAAAGTTTCAAACAAATTGTAACGGAGGGAGTATACTTTGGATGATATGTTTAATGACAAACGAATTTAGGGTAAAATCTGTGAATTCACCTGAACACCAAGCTATGCTCTCGGTTTGAGTCCACCAAGGCTAGCAAGATCTTGGATTCGCCTCTATCTTTAATTAATCCTACAACTAAATAATTTTTTTTGCAGGTGTTAGAATGGAGCAGTACCTACGTATCCAACGTGGCTGGAGAAATTGCTGCCTTGGTTGCAATAGCAATGTGGTGTACTAGTTTGTACACGATCAGGAGAAAGATGTTTGAAGTATTCTTCTACGCACATCATCTCTATATTCTCTATATCTTCTTCTACCTATTGCATGTTGGTGCTGCCTACACATGCATGATCCTCCCTGGAATTTTTCTCTTTATGATCGACCGATACTTAAGATTCTTACAGTCTAAAGGAAGGGCTCGATTAATTTCTGCACGTCTTTTACCTTGTAGCACTATAGAACTCACCTTTTCCAAGAATCCAGGTGAATATAATCTTTACAATAACCTAAGTATGATTTCCAAGATGTTAAATTAAGAAGCTAGCTAGTATAGTAGTAGTATGCTAGTTATTATATATTATACGTACTTATATTTTCACTTTACAGCATTGACGTACAACCCTACAAGCATCTTGTTTGTGAACGTCCCAAGCGTATCCAAGTTGCAGTGGCATCCATTTACTATAGTTTCTAACAGTAATTTGGAGGCAGATAAACTAAGTGTTGTCATTAAATGCACGGGAAGTTGGAGTGAAAAGTTAGAAAAACAACTTTCTTCTTCTCCGGATCATCTTCAAATCTCAACAGAGGGACCTTATGGACCTTCATCATCACATTTCTTAAGGTAAGTACCAAGGCGGAAACTTATACAAAGATTTTTCTTTCTTTGTTTTCTTTTACTAGTGTATGACTAAGCCAGCTCAATTGAAAAGGAGAAAGTAAAAGAAAAATTACAGTTTTGTTGACATGGAGAGTCATGGGATCTTCATGTAGTTTACAATTAATTTAAGGTACTTAATTTAAAATACAATCATCCATGTTAATTAGTTAGGTGATTTTACCTCAAGACATTTCCTTGTTCTAATTATTTTTCACTATGAATTCGTGTTTTCATATTTTTTTTCTTTTATTCATACGTTTTACTTATATGTTAATTACTTGAGATATCATGCGAAATCTTTTGTCTAGTATAAAGTACCAACCATGACATTTGCTAATGAACAGATATTTGATTGAACACAGTTTTATTTTTTTTTAAATATTATTAAGAGTAAAACGCAAAGTTTAGAGTTGAATACATAAATATTTTATTCTTTTTTGGATAAACTAAAAAAGTGTTTCATATAATCAAACTGTTCTTGATTTATATTCAAATATCTGCTCGTTGAACACATAGTCTTAGTAGTTGTTGCTCGACTTGATATGAGTTTGAGAGTTAAATTGTTTCTCCATATCTGTTGTAATTCATAATCAGTTTAGCTTCTATATACTTCTAACTTTTTCACTAGGTCATCTAAAAACTAACTAAAAGGCAATCGTCCATAATAAGTACTTCATTTTTACTTGCCCACTATATAAAAATATATTTTTCTTTTACTTGTCCATTTTACTAGCAAATAAGAGAAAGACAATAAATAATTTCTTGTTTTACCCTTATCATTAATTACTCATTCCCTAAATCATCTCCCAATATTTTTTGAAATGCTATCATGGGTAAAATTATAAAATACATACTTCATTCATTTTTTTCTTAAAGAAAGTACAAAGTTAAAAAGGGACAACTAAAAATAAACGGAGGGAGTAGAATTATTAAACTGGAAAATAATAAAGGATACCTGCTAGAATAAAGTAAAAACACTGATACTATAAGAGTTGTTTACATCGGTATGTATAAGTTAAACTCATAATTTACTAGTGATGCCTTGTACAAAGAATTTAACGAAAACAATGTGACATTCCAGTCGGGAGTGCCTGGTAATGGTCAGTGGAGGAAGTGGAATTGCTCCCATGATTTCCATAATCCGAGAGCTCATTTACAGAAGCACACAACCTAACACCAAAGTACCAAAGCTGATCCTAATTTCAGCTTTCAAGGACACAGCTGATCTCACAATGCTAGACCTCTTGCTTCCTCTCTCCACCACTCCAGCTGATATTTCTAAATTAGATTTGCAAATCGAAGCCTATATTACTAGAGAAAATGGACAAGAACATAACATTGAAAGTGTCCATCACAAGCAACTCATCCAGACAATAGTGTTCAAACATAATCCAAATGACTCCGCCATTTCTGCAGCCCTTGGCCCAAGCAGTTGGCTATGGCTCGGCGCGATAATTTCGTCCTCATTTGTCATGTTTCTCCTTTTGTTAGGCATTGTCACACGTTACTCCATATACCCAATTGAGCGCGATGGCAGGCTCTATCATTACAGTGCAAAAATCATTTGGGACATGTTCTTGGTTTGTGCCTCCGTTTTTATTGCCACCAGCATCATTTTTATGTGGCAAAAAAGGGACAATGAAGCTGAAGGGAAACAAATTCAGAATGTGGAACTACCTACCCCTACAAGTTCACCTGCAAGTTTATTATGTGGTACAGAAAGGGAACTGGAAAGTCTTCCCCACCAGTCTCTTGTTCAAGCCACTAAGGTGCATTATGGTGCTAGGCCTGATCTAAAAAGTGAGTTTACTAATTCTTGTTGGTTCACTCATTCAGAAATTTCGCTAAATTTTTTACAATTTAATATATATGTATAAAAAGTAATAGTAGTAATATTTAACTAGTATACATAGTATAATTTTTTCCGATAAAAAGTGTTCAACTCACCACCCTTTGTCGGCTCTAGCTCCGCCCTTACCGCTCTCACACACCAATCTTCTTGAAATAGTTGTTATGAAATGAACTAAATATTTGAATTGCGTGACATGCAGGAATACTTTTTGATTGCAAAGCATCAGATGTTGGAGTTGTAGTTTGCGGGCCACAGAGCATGAGACATGAAGTTGCCAAAATATGTGCTTCTGGCTTGGCAGAAAACCTGCATTTTGAGGCTATCAGCTTTAATTGGTGATGTTTGGGTTTGTTACGTGCGACAAAACGAGGACAGATGTGTGGTTTTTTAATACTGTTTCTTTTTCTTTTTTCTTTCTGCTTAATTGCTACTCAATTTGGAAGGATTGGCTTTTGGATTGTTTGTTGTGTGCAAGTTTCTAACATAGGACTAAGAATGTTGTGTTGTGTACGGCCTAACCTCCTCAAAAGTTGTATAAAAACAATATGCTCTTATACTGTTCTACGTATAAAGAAAATAATGAACATCTTTATGTGAATACGGATATATGTGTAGTGTATATGCTTGCATGTGTATTCATGTTGTTTCGTACACAAACCTAAAACTTTATACGAAAACTAAAATTGTGACAAAATTCAATGATAATTGGAGGGTAAATTTTATCAAGGGTCATCAAGTTAAACTTTGTAACAGTTTGTGTTGTGAAACAAAACGAGTAACTTTTCCAAATGGAGGGTAAATTTATTCAAATAAAACTTTGTAACACAAAAATCAGTTTTCTTTCTTTCTGTAACATAAAAGTCATTTTAGTATAGCTTAATTAATAGAAATATAAAAGTGACTGAAACATATAAATTTTGGCCAAAAAATTGACGTGGCAATTCTGATCCTCTAATTAATTTATTAAAATTTCACACAAAGTCATCTTCTAAAATTTTGGTCATTGATATTAGCAAGCTGTGATCATAACGAAAACTGCTGTTCATATTTGAACCTACAAACTAAATGCAAAAATTAATGCTGATATTTTAATTCACTTTCAAAATCACCAATTGACGTACCAAAGACTAACAAACTAAATGAAAAAGAGGTCTTGGCAAAGACGAGGAAGAAGGATCAACAGGCCCTCACGCTCATCCACCAATGTTTGGATGATGCCATGTTTGAGAAGGTGGCAGATGCTACCACCTCAAAGGAAGCTTGAGGGATTTTACAAAATTCTCTTCAAGGAGTTGACAAGGTGAGGAAGGTAAAATTTCAAACTCTAAGGGCTGATTTTGAAGTTTTAAAAATGAAAGAATCCGAATGCATTTCGGATTATTGTTCAAAAGTGAAGGTTGTTGTAAATCAATTAAGAAAATATGGGGAGGACGTAAAAGATGTCCGTGTGGTAGAAAAGATCCTTCGCACTTTAACACCTACAAAAGACTAACAAACTAAAAACTTCTACTCAATACTCTATATATCCTGAGAACCAGAATTCAAAAAGACCAAAAACAACAGACAAGCTCTCTGATAGTTAATATCAGATGATGTCAAGCTGAGTATACTGCTAAAGTCCGTTGAAGTTCACTTGCCAAGAATCCGGTGTATCATGATCGAAGAAAGCATATAGATACAAGGTATCACTTCATCAGAGAATGCATTGCCAAGAAGGAAATCAAGCTCAAATATGTGAAGTCTCATGATGAGGCTGCAGATATCTTCACAAAACCTCTCAAGTTCGAAAATTTTCAGAGGTCGAGATTAAGACTTAGAATGACCAAGAAAATTCAAAATTAAGGGAGAGATTTGTTGGACCAATCTCTAAATAAAACAAACAATTAGAAAAGAGGAAAAGGAAAAGAAAGATATGTGATTGGTTGAAACAAAGAAGAGTGGGCTGTTAGAAAAGAAAGATATGTGATTGGTTGAAATAAAGAAGAGTGAGCTGTTGTAAACTTGGCCGGTTGTAACCAATTTGCAATCTTGAAATTTGGCAAGTAGACATCACAATAGATTTTTTGGTGAGCATTCGTTCAACTATAAATAGGGGAGGATGTTGCCTCATTTAAACACACCAAAAACAAAGAGAAGCTAAGCAGAAAGCAAAGCAGTGAGAGTAATCCACAGATTGTTGTCTGTGAGATAAATAGTGAGTGGCAGTATTATTATAGTAAGGTATTTTAAAATAAAGAGTTATTTCTTTCAAAGTTGTAGTAGTCTCTTGACACTACTAAGTTGTAATATTATAGTGGTAATATTGCTCCGCTCGGGTATTGTATTTTACCCCGTTAAAAGATTTAATATTATTGTTACTCTCTTGTGTTATTATTATTTACTGTGGATATTATTCCTGTGCGGGATATATTTATTTTTCCTAACAACATGGTATCAGAGCCATGGCGAATAATGATCCGCTATCTTTTCAGTGCCCCCCGTCTCACATAAGATAATTATGAGAAATAGTGTCTACGTATGAAAGCCATTCTTGGCTCTCCGGATGTATGGAAAATCGTAGACAGGGGGTATGCAAAACCTGATAACAAGGAAGCTCTGCCTCAAAATGAAAAAGAGGTCTTGGCAAAGACGAGAAAGAAGGATCAACATGCCCTCACGCTCATCCACCAATGTTTGGATGATGCCATGTTTGAGAAGGTGGCAGATGCTACCACCTCAAAGGAAGTTTGGGGGATTTTATAAAATTTTCATCAAGGAGTTGACAAGGTGAGGAAGGTAAAATTTCAAACTCTAAGGGCTGATTTTGAAGTTTTAAAAATGAAAGAATCCGAATATATTTCGGATTATTATTCAAAAGTGAAGACTGTTGTAAATCAATTAAGAAGATATGGGGAGGACATAAAAGATGTCCGTGTGGTAGAAAAGATCCTTCGCACTTTAACACCTAAATTTGATTTTGTAGTGTGTGCTATTTAGGAGTCTTAAAATTTAGACTCTATGATGGTAGAGCAATTGGAGGGTTCTTTACAGGCCCACGAAGAAAAGATCAAGAGGAGACAAGAAGTGTCATTAGAGCAACTTCTTAAAACTCAGGCATCCTTTAAGGATTATGGAGATGAAGAGAGTTATCGAGGAAACGGGCGAGGCATAGGCCGTGGTGGTCATGGAAGAGGAAGAAGTAACGGTAACAACTTCAACAATGAAGTTAAAATCTACCAGACATTCAGAGGTCGTGGCCGTGGCTACTACTAAGAAAACAATGGACAGAGGTGTGACAAATCCAAAATTGAGTGTTATAATTATCATAAATTTGGCCATTACTCTTGGGAATGTCGTAGAAATGTTGAAGAAAAAGCTAACCTTGTTGACAACAATAAAAAAAAGTTGATTCAACGTTGTTGATGACACTCAAGGAAGAAGACAGGGATGATTGCAGCTCGTGGTATTTGGACAATGGAGCAAGTAATCATATGTGTTGATGCAAAGAGAAGTTTGTGGAGATCAATAACACGGTGAGAGGTAATGTGTCCTTTGGAGATTCCTCAAAGATTCAAATCGAAGGGATGGGTACGATTCTGATCTCCTGTAAAGATGATAGTCACAAGCTAATTCAAGATGTTTATTATGTGCCAAAATTAAAAAGTAATATTTTGAGTTTTGGCCAACTTCTTAAAAAGGAATATGACATCCACATGAAAAATATACATCTTTGGCTTAGAGATTCAAGTGGAATTCTAATTGCTAAAGTGCATATGGCAAAGAATAGATTATTTTCTCTGAATCTTAAGGCAATTGATGCAAAGTGTTTGAAGGCTAATGTGTAAGATGAATCATGGTGTTGGCACATGCGATTTGGGTACTTGAATTTTGAAGCGCTAAAATCAATGGGAGAAAAGAACATGGTGTATGGGATACCATCAATCAACCATCCCAATCAATTGTGTGAAGTTTGTCATCTTGGAAAACATGCAAGGAGGAGTTTTCCAAAGAGGGCCATGTCAAGATCAACCAAACCGCTCCAGCTTGTTCACACTGAAGTGTGTAGGCCAATCAATCCACCTTCCTTTGGTAAAAGTAAATACTTTCTACTCTTCATTGATGACTTTAGTAGAAAGACTTGGGTTTATTTCTTGAACCGAAATTCTGAAGCTTTTGCTGCTTTTAAAAATTTTAAAGTACTTATAGAAAAAGAAAGTGGCTATGAAATAAAAGCTTTAAGGTCCGATAGAGGAGGCGAATTCACTTCAAAAGAATTTAATGACTTTTGTCAATCTCATGGAATTCGTCGTTCTTTAACGGTACCTTATTCACCCCAATTAAATGGAGTTACAGAGAGAAAGAATCGAACGATTCTTAATATGGCTAGATGTATGTTGAAAGCTAAAAGTATACCCAAGGAATTTTGGGCCAAAGCTGTTTCTTGTGCAGTTTATTTGAACAACAGGTCTCCAACAAAGAAGGTTAGAGATCAAACCCATTAAGAAGCATGAAGTGGAAGAAAGCCAAGTGTCAAGCACTTGAGAATCTTTGGGAGCATAGCCTATGCTCATGTGCCACATCAAGGGAGAGCAAAGCTTGACGATCGAAGTGTCAAGCATGTGCTTGTTGGCTATGATACGAGTTCAAAAGGCTACAAGCTACACAACCCAAGTAGCGGCAAGATGGTGGTGAGTCGAGATGTTGAATTTGATAAAGAATTGGCATGGGATTGGGAAGCTCGGGAAGAAACATCATATGATTTTCTTCCATACTTTGGAGATGAAGAAAAACCAGTGACTGTGGAACTTGTGCAGGATACAACTCCACCTTCTTCTCCAACTAATGTTGCATCTCCTTCTTCTCAACAAAGTTCAAATGAGCAACCGCAAAGGACAAGGAGCATTCATGTCACGACACAAAATCCATAAAGGTCGTGATGGAGCCGGACTCCACTGTCAGGCAAGCCAACAATAAATACTTAATTAGATTCACATTTTGTTACTTTTGAAATCATATTTTCTTTCAATTAAATAGCAAAAGATGGAGTTTACAAAGTAAATAATAATATTTTCAACAATTTCAATACAAGATAACCCATAATCACCCAAAAACTCGCTGTCACAAGTGCATGAGCATCAACTAGGAAGATAAAATAAAATACAACACCAGTCCAGAATACAAATTAGACGGGAAAATACATAAGTAACTCTGAAGGGGACTCTGTTGGCTGCGGATCGTAGATGGGAATGCAGATCACCTAAGTCTCTGCATTTAACCACACCTCTGCGCCCGCCAGGCTGCTAGTCATATATGGACCTGCACAAAAATGTGCAGCAAGTGTAGTATGAGTACGTAAATCAATGTGTACCCAGTAAGTATCCGACCTAACCCCGAAGAAGTAGTGACGAGGGGTCGACTTCGACACTTACTAGTGGTACAATAATATCAGGTACAGTAAAGAAGTGAATGAATATGAGACAGAGTAAATATATGAAACAAACAAGTATAAAATACGTAGTACAATTTTCCTCTTTACAATTTACTCAAGCTATCAACTAGCAAGTTCCCCCCATAACCGGAGCATATATATAAATATAGTTTATTTCATCAAAGAGGTTGTCATAA